TTTTCTTCTTATTTAGACAATAAGGGGGTAGCTTTGTGAAATATTTAACTAGACAAAGATGTTGTTACATTTATTTGTGTTGCAAAGTATTAAACTATGTGAAGGTGTGTTACATTTATTTCTGCTCCCTTTGTTAATGATATAAAAATGTGTTACATCTGTTAAAAAAAGAAAATTTAATGAAATCTACAAAAATAAAACTATGAAATGATCTTAGAGTAGATACTAGAATAAATAAAAGTTCAACACATTCACACATGAACATTGTGTTTCTCTATATTTAGATCAAACTGCTTAAAATAATTTTAAGTACCATTTGTATTGGAATAAAAATATGAAATAAATTAAGGATGAACCTGAAGAAGAGATGTAGGAATGCCTACTGAAAATATAAAACATTCTGGAAGATCAAAGATCTGAATAAATAAGAGATGAACTGATTTTATAGTTTCTGAGAATCGTATTGTTAACAATCCTGCCTCTTAAATGATCTCTGAAGTTAATTAAAATCTGGCAGATCTCACTCCACCTTGGATAGAAACTGATAAACTAAACCTAAAGTGACAGAAACTAAAAATCCTGGATTCCAGAAATGACGCTGAAGAAATTTTGAAGGATCAGACATACCAGCTTCAATACTGGGTCAGAAGTGTGGCAGTCAAGGCAGGTCCAGAGAGCAAAGCAGAGGTCAACAAAACAAGTTGGAGACTTCAGAAGACACACATGTACACAAACAATTGAATTTTGACAAAGATGAAAAAGCTATTTAATTTTAGAAAGAATGATCTTTTAAATAAAATGTACAGGAACCATTGGAATGCGTGTGCACATCTGTTTATGGTGTGTGTGTGAGTGTGTGTGCTTGCATGTGCGTGTATGTGTATGTGGTGTAAGTGCATGTGTGTGTGTATGGTGTGTGCGCCTGCGTGTGCATGTGTATGTGTGTGAGTATGTGTCTGGTACATGTATGTGTGCGTGAATGTATGTGTGTGTAGTGTGTGTGCTTGCATGTGTGTGCATATGTGTGTGAGTGTGTGTGTAGAAGGAAAATCAGAGAGACTACAGAGAGCTGTGACATGGTTGTTATAGCATGTACAGCAACTAGCTCAAAATAGACCCGAGACCTAGATGTAAGCCTTAAAGCTATAAAACATTTAAAAGAGAGGTAGAAAAGAAATCCCCGTGGCCTTAAACTAGTCAACTCATGTGACAGCAAAATCAAAATCTTTTAAAAATATTAAATTGGGCTGGGCAGTGGTGACGCTTGCCTTTAACCCCATAACTTGAGAGGCAGAGGCTCTCTATGAGTACGAGGTCAACCTGGTTTACAAAGTGAGTTCCAGGACAGCTACAGCTGTAGCATAGAGAAACCCTGTCTCAAAAGACCAATATATACATATATATGTATACACACACACACACACACACACACACACGTAATTGGATTTCCCCACAATGGAGGACATATATCCGTCAAAGAATAGCTAGGAAAATGAAATGATATGGCATAGTCTGATGGGAAATACTAGCAAACCACAGAATATATAAAAGGATTGTCAAAGATCAATAATAAAAAAACAACCTAATAGTGGGACAGGGGCACAGGCCGATTTGATGAGGATGGTGGCACTTGTGAATGGAGAGGTAGACAGGCAGAATTAGTACGAAGGGGAGCAGGAGGTGCTTGATAGTGACAGGCCCCTCACACCGCTGGTTGTATTTTGTACATACACATATTATGTAGAGTTTTGACACATACAACAACGGATCAAACTGTGCATCAAATAGGCACATCTATTTTCTGTCAATCATACCTTTGCAAATTTGATAGCTTCCATTAATAAATTGTAAAGAATCTCATGTGTTTCTCTGTATCGAGTTACCTTTCTGGCTTTTCCTTTTTATGTGTGTTTTGCCTTTTACCTTTTTGAGTTTTCTGTCCAAATTCTGTATTAATTTTAAAATACCCTATTCTGTGCTGATATATATGACAGTCTTAGCACATTCCTTTTATAAGATGCAGAAGCAGAAGACTTTCTTTGGAGGCGTCCTGAGACGTGGTGTTTAAAGACTTCAGAAGCCTCTTCCTCTTTGTCCAGTTAACACACATGTGAAAAGCGAAGGGACTTGCTGCCATTCCACGACCTAAGGACCCACATGCACACACACACACACACACACACACACATACACACACACAACACATAAATAGTAAACAATTTCAAAATAAAAATAAAGTGCCCCATGAAGAGGCGGTTCTTAGAATTCCGACTCCATTGTCTGTGGTCAGAATTTCTGCTACTTTGTCTATTATCATCCATTTGCTCATTCATTCATTTATTACTCCTCCAAATGTATATCTGTAACAGGTTTTTAAAATACAAGGCTTAAATAGTAAATTTATTTGACCAACTGTGTGTAGCTGTGGTTTATGTATTACATGAAATCCTACTAATGTTAAATGCAGAATTCATACATCTGGGTGGTTTGGTTTTATTTGACATATTATCCTTAAAAAAACTGCCAAATGCCTCCATGAACTTCTGTATCTGGAGCACAGAAATATTAATGAAAGTGAGTTCTTGCTTTGAAAACTAAATTTTCTGAGTTGTATCATTTGGTGTGTGAATTCCTGAGCACAGCGGGAATGAAGGCCACTGCCCACCCCAGTCATCTCCTATTCCGGGATTCCTATTTCTTCTTATTTACTTTTTTTTTCTCCTCAGGCAAGGAAGATTCCTGTCCTTTTTAATTTCCTTTTCTTGGGCGTGTTACAAATATCCTCCCTGATTTCTTCGGATCTATTGTAGCGGAGCCAATTCTTCATTCTCTCTTCCCCTCACCTGCTTCTGCCTACTTATTTGTGTATAGGATGTCAAAGGAAAGCCAAAGGCAACACCTCACAATGCCATCTGAAAAAACGAAAATGCCAACACATTCTTTTCTGCACCTGAAGCTTTTAATTCTTTAATCCATCGTGGAATGTTGCTTAATTACATATTTTATTATGCAGAACTGAGACTGATGTACTTTAGTTCTCGAAATGATCTGAAAGCATGGGCTGTTTTAAAGAGAAGTTGGTTTGCTCTGGTTTTTCTCTTACATATATTTGTGGGGTTCTCCTGGGTTTTCCTCTTATTACTTGACTTTTTGAAAATTCTCAGAAAGCTCTGGAGAAAAAAAATTTAAGTTTCCTCTAGAAATAAGATTCATTACTTGGCAAAAATGTAACATGCTGTTGCAGTATTGTGGGCAAACACATGGGTCAGCTAAGTTTCTTTTGTTGATACTTTTTGTTTTAATTTCAGTGAATTTCATAAAGTATTAATAGAAAAATGTTACATTTGTTGAGAAGGATGTCTCTAGAATTCATTTGTTTTTCTTTCCCATGCTTTCTTTGTAGGTTTTGTTTGTTTTTTTCAAGACAGGGTTTCTCTGTAGCTTTGGAGCCTGTCAGAGATACCCCCCGCCCCCCCCACCCCCCCAGCCTCCTGAATTCTGGGATTAAAGGCGTGTGCCACCAACACCACCCAGCTTCTTTGTGTTTTTTTTTTCTGCAATTTTTCTAATAGTTTATGAAAAAAAAATGATGTGTTTTAGCTCTCATTGATACGAAGGCAGCAGAATTTGAGGTTATTATTCCAGGGTGAAACATACTTGATTTAAATCAGTGTTCAACTTTCTCTTTTAGCAAAACACATGTTGCTTTATATCCATGTAAGAACTGAATTGCAGTGTGTTTGAACAATTTATTGAGAAAATGGGAGAACTGGATTTGAGGTTAATGTGACCACTTTGTAACTGGGCAAGTCAGTTAACCTATTTGAGCTTTCCTTGTTTGCTTGTCTTTGAAGTGGGGATGTTAGCGTCTGCTGTGAGTGCCTCCTGGAGGGACGGAGAGCTTTAAATGCGACACTGATGTCCTACAAAATGAACTCTTCAGATGTTGCTGTCCATTTAAGCACACTGAGGGACAATGCCAGCAGAGGCCTCAGCACGTGGTTAAAAGTGCAAACAAGTGGGGGGACTCTTGCCCTGCATGGAGACGCTGATCAGCAGTCTGCCCTGAACAGAATGCTCCTAAGTGTTGCTCCAGAGGCAATGCATTGACACACACCTTTAAGTACGCGCACTTGAACATTACCTAGCAGGCACTGTCAGATCTTTCAGGAGAGGAAAACCAGATAGCAATAGACATCATTTCTTTCTTCGAAGATGGTAGGGCATGAATTAAAGGCTGTCACTAGAATGTCACTAGAATAAATTCACTTATTTGAATGCATTTCTTCCTGAGTTCTCAGTAGAGAAATAATGTTCAGCATTTAACTTGGTGCAAAAGAGATCGTTATGCAGTTTCTCTGCCTCTTTCCTTGCACACAACCCCACTGCATCTTTCACTAACCACAATTAGACAAGTCCAAGCCAAGTGCTTCGGCTACAGTTAGGTATATTAGCAGCTGGAAGTGGCCCATACGAAGATAATTTTATCCTCATCTTTGACACGAGAAATGGGTGTGAATTTTAATAGTGTTCTTTTCATAAAATGTGCTGTGTGCATGTAGTAAATATACACCCATATAGAGGAATAGAAGAAAGGCTTAAAAATGTTGCTCATATTTTAAACATTAATTTCAAACTATTTTTATTAACATGGTATTAATATGGTATTGTTAAACAGGTACCGTATTCTTGACAAACACCTTTCACCACATTTCATTTGAGGGCACTTTATATCAAAAATTGTGCGTATTAATAGATTGTAGCTCAACTTTTGTCTAAAGACATGCAAGTATTCACTATTTACATTTAAAGGATTGCTTCAGAAGAAACACTGAGAATTCCTTCTCCTAACATTTTGGGTGGCTCCTGCTTTGGTGCTGTTGGGTTCCCACCCTACCATCCACATTTCTGGCTGGCGTTAGCACAATAGACTCATCCCCGTTGCTGTAATACAGGCCATACACATTTTAATTGCTCTTGTTGAAAATATCACCAGGCAGTTCATAATATCTCATTTATTGAAAATATTGTGACAATCAAGGATCATGTTATCAGTCACATGTGAACAATTGGGACTAAGGAAGAATGAGATATAGCATGTGTGGGACACTTGTGTCAGGACACTCCTGAGCTGCTGGAATTTTTCCTACTCAAGCTGTGTGGTTCAGATAAGCATAGTCAACTACAGATACTACCAGGGGTGGACACCAGCTCAGAATGTCTTCCTACTAAACACCAGTCAATACACATTTTGTACATATGTACAGACTTTGTTACGAAGTGCGACACAGTAGGGCGCACGCACTTTCAAAGGTTACGTGTCAACCCTGCATATGTGTGGCAGGAAGCTACGATCAACATCATTTTTTGCATAATATGCAAGTATTATATGGCCACAAAGTGTCATACAAATTAGTGGCAAAGTGCTGAGTGAAGGAATCCATGACAGACTCAGATGCACACAGCTGAATATTACTCGTAAACTATCTGACTCTGCTAAGACTTAACATCACGAAGCACTATGTCATGCCCAGTGTGTAAACATCTCCGAAATACCGGGTCACAATGAAGCTTGTTAAAGAAATTATCAATAGTCATAGGCAACAGGAAGAAGAAAGACGTGGGTTACAATGACATTGGGGGAGCAACATGGGTCACTAGGAGACATCTTCCAAAATATGCTGTCTTCAACAATTCTGCACACTCCATCACGGCCCCATTTGCTAACATGTGCTTTATCTTAAAATAACAAACCCATGCAGACCATAAATGTAAAAGATCTGATAATTTTGCTGGCACAATGGTGTTGCTTTCCAACACAGTCATTCCCTAGGGGAGATCTTCCAAAATGCTGCCAAATTCTATACCTATTTGATGTCCTAAGTGTTGGGCTGTTTAAAATGAAAACAAAAAACAAAAAACAATTTCTCTGATCCTCTGTTGACTCTTAACTTGGGGAAGAGGAGGATGTGGGTGACAATCTTTAGTTAGTGAAATGCTAATTTCTTTTTTTTAACATATGAAATTTAGCTTACAGCATCTTGATTCAAATGCCTTTGGCTCACATGATTACTTTTCTGAAATGCAGCAAACAAGGTAGTTTGCATTGTTTTCTCACCTAACACAAAGAACTGGAATTAGTTTGCAACAGGAGCGGCCTTCTGCACCGCTCAGCTGGGTTTCCCACTGGAGCCATAGAGGAGTTTCCATACAGACCCCGCCTGAGGAAATGCTCTTGGGTGGGGGGAGGGCAGCTCAGAGCCCCGGGCTCCATGAACCCAAATACCCCAATTAACTAACAAAGGGCTACAAGAGACAAACAGATAAACAAAAATTAAAAAAAAAAATTCTTTTTCCAGAGCACAATACTCCTTGTTTGCACCTGGCCCGCCACTGCAGTATGGTCAGCAGTTTAGACCATGTTTGGATTCTAGCAGGGTTACTCTTACTTTCTTCATGTAGATACATTTTGACAAAGGAGGCCAAATGAACGCAGGGTATTTTACCTTCCCTACTTATCATGTGTCAAATAAATCTAAACAAAACACCCCCTCCCCCAAAAAGGTTAATATTAGGGGTTCTCACACAGGCTCGGTTGTTCCCTTATTTATATTATTAATGATGTTGAAAAACACAACCCATCTTAAAGAAAACTACTGCCATAATTGGAGGATTGTGAGAAAAAAGCAGATATAGCCATTCCAAGTACTTAACTGCTAGAGTAATTCATGTTTCTGTTGGAGTCTCTGTCCTGTATAGTAAGCAAAGCCAACTATCATCTGTACTGTGAAATTTCATACCTGCTTAAAACTGAGCATGTGTGTGACTTGAACTTAGTGCTTCAGGTGAGTGTTCGGCTGCTCTTTCCAGAGCTCGCTCCAGAGTTCCAGTAGTTCTTTGACAGGTTATCAAGAGAGCGTCCACCCACGTGACACACCCCTTGAGCTTGGTCACATAAGCAGACGGACCCTGCCGTGGCATACCATACAAACAATTTTAATCGTGTAGTTACAGTCAATAACCACTCCTAATAAGCACATTTCTGCATAAAGAAAATTGTGATACACTTATAAAAACAGCAGCTGTAACAAAATAGCTGGTGTTTTCATAGTCATAAACTCATAAAAAAGAAATACACCTTTATACAGAAATTTTATACAGATGTCGCTTTAAAATTGATTGTAAACCAAAGGAAGACACATTGCAAACATCAATTATTTTCACATTAATTGCATAATTTTCTAAGGTGATCTATTAGTTTTATTTACCTAAGCTTATTTGCATGATAGTAAAAATTGCATACGACAACAGAGTGAAGCTTCTAGAGTGAATTGCTCGGATAACAGACTTTTATAGGCAACTGTGTAAAGCACATTTTCTCTATTTAAACTTTTAAGACACTTTGTTTTACTGCCCATCAAAATACAGTTATAAATAGAAAGGAAAACAGTATGGTAACAAGAGAAGCAACATTACATTTAACAGAAACTTCTAGAAACTTAATTACAACATGATGCTGCAGGATCTACAAATAAATAACCAGGACTAAATTGTGTTTCACATTTTCTTTCCTTAAAAAAAAAATCATGTAACAATGAATCATGTAACAATGAGAATGAAAAAAAATTACAGTGAACTTTTATTTCCAAAATAAAAACACAAATTTTAATTACGGCAGTGCCATATAATACAAGGCATTTGTTGGCATATGTCATCTTTAAACTGCAGTCCACAGTCTATAGTTCTTTTTTAACATACAATCGAGTAACAAACTTTTTTTTCCTTTTCTCTTTAAAATAAGGGGTCAGTTTCCAAAGACCAGTGTGGAGTGTTACAGAAATAATTAAAGAAAAGGCAATCATAATCACAGAAGTTATAATGCTTATTTGAGGCTCCAGAATAATATTAATTAAAAGGAAAACCAATCTCTGGTATCATGCTGACAGGGTGCACACACACCACAGTGCAACCCTTGAACACAAATTCTGCCATCAGACAACCCTTGACGCTTCACTGGGGCTGCCACGCAGTCCGGGAAAACAGTAAAACCTTTCGTGCTGCCTGTCATGTCCTTCCAACTTCCTGTTTGTGCAAGTTTCTGAAGATTCATCGGCCAAACAATAAACAATGAACGCTTTCTGAGTGAACACAAGATGGACTTTTCGTTTTGTTAGTAAATACCAGTGGTACAGCTGAAACAAAAATTCTCAGTCTTTCAAGTCAGCGTTAACGTCTGTGCTCCCTTCCACGGACAGCTCTCCCTCCAGCTTCACAGAAAAGAGGGTGTTGGCGTTTTTATCCTGGACACTCTCTTCCAAATCCTTCAGCAGCTCCTCCTCTTTGTATTCCGCCACATCCACCTCCAAGCCGGAGTTGTCCTTCAGTTTGCCGTGGTGCTTGAGATAGAACCGCTGGTTCTGAAAGAACTTGATGATGGTGTACTTGGGCAGGTCGAGCTGCGCAGACAGAGTCTGGATGGCCTCTTCATCCGGGTACAGGCCCACGTCCTGGATGAAGCTCTGAAGGATCCCCAGGGCTTCCACGGAAATTTTGGTTCGTGGCCTTGTCTTCTGCCGGTTTTCCTCATCAGACTCTGCAGAGGAAGCCACCGTGGGCTGCCGTGGAGGCAGCCTGGGGCCTGCCTGGGGCTGGGGCTGCGGCTGAGGAGGAGGAGGTGGCGGCTGCTGCTGTTGCTGCTGTTGCTGCTGCTGCTGCTGCAAAAAACAAACAAGCGAACAGTCAGAGCTGCTCGGAGCCTGCTGCAGTGATGGGGGTGGGGGGTGGGGGTGGTGCTTGCCAAGACCGCAACCTTTATTAAATAAACAAATACACCTCTGACCTCGCGCTGGGCAGCTAGAAGAAGTAAGGCTTGGAGGGCTACTGTGCTTACCTATCAGCTACCTGTGGAGACAAACAGCTGGGAAAAATGTGAACCTCACTCTCTCTCACAATGACTCTCACCAAAGGCAGCCAGCAAAGCACATCATAGCATTAATTAACAAAGACTTCATAAAAAGATCCTTCTTGGATTCCAGAGAGGATGTCAGAAGGCCGAGCTACCCAGCCAGGGGGAAAGCGGTGTGCCTGGCCATGCGGCATCCTGTGGCTGTACCCTGGACTCCACCACAGCTGTGGCTTCCCCCCTCATTCTGCACACCTCTTGGAGATGCAAGGATTTGCCAGACAGTTTCAAGTCAGTCTCTCTCTCTCCCTCCCTCCCTCCGTCCGTCTCTGTCTCGCTCTCTCTCTCTCTCTCTCTGTCCCCCCCCCCCAATTAACCAAACTGCACTAAGCTAACACTACGTTTCTTTCCTTACCCCCACCAAATGAAGGTTCACTCCATTCTACGCCAGCTGGCAAACTGTTTTGTCTACAGTAAACTACGATGTGGTTAGGCTTTACATTTAATGTATACAGACACTTTTTCATAATTAGTATCTGTGTATGTGCTGTAATTCCTGTACACAATTACACGTAACCAACGTGTGGCATGTGTCTACTGCCCACTCAACATCCATAATTCTTATCAGCCAAGCCAATCAACCCTGGGCGCTCAAGCTGCAATGTATTAGAACATTTGTCCTGTGCTTAAGCATTTCCTCTTATCCCCCTAAGAAGCAATTTTATTAAAAACAATTTACATTTTCAAACAAGTACTATTTTTATTACTTAACATATATCTTTCTTGTCTTTGTTTCAGCTGAAACGGTCGGTTTTTCAGGCTTTCACAATTATTTTAGTGCTTAATATCCTAAGGGATTCTCTTTCTCAATTTGTTTTATCTTTAATAAATACTCAAGGATTTTTTTTTTCCTGGTGGATTGATAACTCTATTATTTTAGCTACAGATATCTGTATTTTTCACAGACAGCAATACCAGGAAGGAATGTGGGTGATTCAACAAAGATGCCAGGCAGGTTTCTGGGGCGCTAGAGGTAATGGTGTTTCCCTTAAAGGACAGCTTAAAACAGCCTTCAGATTTATCAGAAATAAGTTACACAGCTTCAATTCAACTAGAGCCCCGGTATGCGGTCTGGTCCACAGCCCTTGAGTCGAGTTCTTCAGGAGCAGGAGGCTCCCAGAGGCCATGCCCAACACAGGCTACATCAAGCATAGGCTATGTGCTAGCACTGTGGGCCTTGGCCAGAGCCATGGCCCTTCTACCATTGTCCTTCGCACAGCTGAGAACTCTGGCTGAGGAGCTGGTCTTGACAACATCTCTTTTCCCCTTTCTCCTGGCACAGGGAACTGGTGCCCGCTCACCTGAGGAGCAGCACTGGGCCATGGTGCGGGGGTCAGCAGGCCTGGTAGGGAAGCGCATCTACTCTCTCCTTTGCCAAGGGTGCTGGGAGAGGGGCTCTATGGAAAGACAAACAGACATGACTTACCCTGTCCTGCCCTGGGTGGATGGGAAGGTGTATGAGGTAAAGGCAGGATGAGGAGAATAAAGCAAGATGGGTTTCCCTCCCCTTCGCTCTGGACAGAATTCATGGAATAAAATATGTGCCTGTCCTCTACAGCACAGCGGTGGTTCCTTTCCTCCAGGGCAGGATGGTTTTAATTAGGAAGTAATGTTTTAAATTTGAATTTTTAGAAAACAAACCAAAAGACAGATTCTAGGTTTTCATAATCAAAACCCAGGGCTAATCAAGACCCCCTTATTAGACTAGCAGTCCAGAAGGGGGTTCCTGCCACGTTCGGGTAAGGTGACTACAGCCCAGGGGTCAGGACAGTGTTTATCCTCCTATCCCGGGCAAGATGGCAGTGTGCTGCTGGCCCGGGCAGAACACCTCAGGTAGACTGTGGGAAGAGGAGAATCACTAATTTCCCTGTGAAGTTAAAGGCTTTATTTAGTGGTGCATGGAACTGGCCAAGGTAAACGAACCTGAATCTGTTCTGCTGGAACATGGATGATGTGGGGCGGCCTGTCGCCATGGTGATGCACAGCATTGCTCTCCTGCTCGTAGATGGCATCGCGCTCAGACTGAGGAAGACTGAGGAACCTTCGGATCATGGACAGGTTCTCCCACAGGGTCCTGTTTTCTGGAGAAGGATCTTCTTTCCAGCGTAACAGCTCACACAACCACCCCTTCGGAGGAAAGGTGACAAGTCGGTTAGTGCTGGGCTGGACACTTTCACGAGGCGAAAAAGGAAGCTCCAACAATTAATAACCTTTCATCCACTCATCACACTCCAATTTGTTTTAACATTTTTTTCTTTTAATCCATTATGGGGAAGAAGGCTCTGTTTCTGAGGATGTTCAGATTCATATCTTCATGGGGGATGAGCTTAGTGGGTATGAGTGTATTATGTAGCTACGAAGATCTGAGCTTGGGTCGTCAGAACCCATTTAAAAAAAAAAAAGCCTGTTACCTGCCAACCCAGTGATGGGGTACAGAAACAGACATGGGGGCCTTGCGGGAGCTCCAGTTTTAATAAGAGACCCTGACTCAAAAAATAAGGTGGAGAACCATTAAGAAGGCAACCAGACATCAACCTTTTGCCTGGACAATGCATGTTGAGCAAGTGCACCTGTGTGCACACACAGACACACACACTAAAAGAAGGTAAGGACAGACATTTTAGACTCCAAGAGCAGTAGAGAGCTTTCATCAGACTCTACAGTGAGAGGTATGGGCTAGAAACAAAGGTGTGGGCAGTTGTAACTCCTGCCTGTGGCCACTGAGGCATTGAAGTGGCAAGTCAGAGATCTAGAAATAAACTGTTCTCAAAGGATTTCCTAAGCTTACACTTCATTAGAAAGATAGGGGAGAGAGAGAGAGAGAGAGAGAGAGAGAGAGAGAGAGAGAGAGAGAGAGAGAGAGAAACAGAGACATGGGGGAGAGGAGGGACAGAGGGAGAGGGAAGGGGGGACAGTCAGAGACACACACATACCAGTGCTGCAAGCAAGCTTGGGCATGAATATGGTTGGTTTTATTATCATTGACATTAGATTTCTTCAATAAGGGACTCATTTTTTAAATATGATACTGCTGATTGTTTTAATTTTTATTCACTGACGTACTTTTTAAATGTATGAGTGCTCTGTCTGCATGTGTGCCTGCACAAAAGAAGGCAGATCCCATTGTAGATGGCTGTGGGCCACCATGTCGTTGCTGGGAAATTGAACTCAGGACCTCTAGAATAGCAGTCAGAGCTCTTAACCTCTGAGCCATCTCTCCAGGGAACCTCGGTTTTCTGCTTTTCTGTCAGCTGTAGCACAGGTATAGGACTTGGTAGGCAAGAACTTCAGTGAGTTTTCGTGGTAAAGAGCGAAAGACAAACTCAGTCAAGGCCCCAATCTGATCCTGTGTGGTCATGACATTTTCACTGGCTAAATGGTTACACAGTGGACAGTTAGCCATCCCTCAAACTTTCATCCTTTCTGTCCTACTGGACTGGAAGCATCAGGAAGGAAAGAGGGAGGGACGGAGCCCAGCTGGAGCCCACCAGCCTAGACTGCCACCCTCTCAAACTACTCCAAGCTTGCTGACAGCTCACTGGACTGTCCAGAGACATCTGACCTGCACACACTGGAAGGCAGTTCCACTGTCTCCCTGGCCCCATTCCCCAGTCTCCCCTGTGACTGGCATGCAGACTGGTACAAAGCCTGTCCTGTACCACAGACAGTACTCCCCTTCTGTGTACACTTCAGGGACCATCTTCCTCATCCTCCACACAATCTATCTGAGGCCATCCTGTGTCCTTTCCCCTCCCTGTTCTCCCTTACTCCTTTTGGGGAGGAAACCCCAAGGCACATGCACTATTCCCTATGTGGGGCTCTGCTTTGGGGAAACTGCTCGAAAATAAAGGTCTTTCTTGGAAATTTCCAGAAAGGTAGCTGGATAAGACAAAACATCGATTATGAGAATTTTAGATCTATCCAGAGAGGGTTCTGCTTTTTATGTTACTGAAAATTGTATGTCTTTCTTTGTCTTTTCAAACTGAATAAGCCAATCAAAAGAGACTTCTACAGGTGATAATGGTGAAAGAGAACAAGGCCTTCTTCTCCGGAACTGGTCTGAGAGACTGTGAGATTGCAGGAGACAGGCCGATACCTTAGCTTCCTACTAGTGGGCCGGAACACTCACGACTCTGGGTGTTATTCAGGCTTTACTGCTGCTTTGTTTTCTTTTACAGCAGGGCTGTACACACACAAGCAAGGACCTCTAAGAAAGTTTAATCCTTTAACAATTGTCTTTAATTAAGCAAACACACACACATGTGTATATATATATATATGTGAATGCTCACATATCTATGTATGTATATATGTATTATATATACAAACACATACAAATAAATGTTATGTGTGTATATATATATGAATGCTCACATATCTGTATGTATATATACACACACATACAAATAAATGTTCGTGTATGTATATATACATACATATATGTGAATGTTCACATATCTGTGTGTAAATATATTATATATACACACATACAAATAAATGTTCATGTGTGTGTGATATATATATATACGTGAATGCTCACATATCTGTGTGTATATACATATATATAAATAAATGTTCGATGTGTGTAAATGTATGTGAATGTTCACGTATCTGTGCTTATACACACACACATATATGAATGGTCAAGTGATAACGCTCCAATTCAATGCCATACACAATTCAAGATGAGAAGGGGCAGTACACTGAAGAGTTAATCTGAAATAGCAACTAAAAAGGAAAAAACACCCAATCTCTGTTTTGATGACCGAGCCCTGGCGCTGTTGCTCACCTGACCACAGACCCTTGCGTATGTTCAGACTGCTGTGAGATGCCAGAGCTGAGCTCTACTTGAGAGAACAGAGCAAAAACGGCAAAGCTGACCTTGAGTGTTTACAGTGTGGGAGACATGCCTGCTTTCGAAATATTATTTAGTTCGGATGCATAAACTCTTGCTATCTGGAGCAAGTCGTAAAAATATCATCTACTTTCCTAGATCCAAGGTATTTCCTTGCCATGTCTCTAAATGTTGTGACAGGATAGACTTTAGCTATGCACTCATCTCCCCGGACCCTGAGTGTGAACCGATAGCTACCTTTCCTGACTACTTGTCCACATCCTTCGTCTGTGACCTTGGACACAACCTGGATGCCTGGAAACATGGTCTTATTTCCTTCCCCGAGAAGTGAGAAGGCTCGAGAACAGAGGAGAGACCCTTAGCTGGTCCCTGTGAGCACTGAGTACTGAGCACTGAGCTGCTATCATGTTAATTATTATAGAAATAAATTTCTTAGATATAAATGCACGTAGCTGAAAATTACCAAGAGTTAAATCAAGAATGATTCATGCCTGAAGAGCTTCTTGGACAGCTGAAAACCTCACTGAATCCTCCGGAAACTTCTGTAAGCAAGGCAGAGATCACTTGGCGATCGCATGCAAGTAAAAACATGTGGATCACAGATGTTCTTTGGAGGAGAAAACCATTAGTTCTTTTAAAACAGCTAATAATGACAGCTAATTCCTAAATAATCACACTCGCGTAGGTCTAACAAACATTTCAGAAAGAAAACTCTGACTCATTCAACAAACACCTCGTCTCTGCCGTCACTTCTGTGCGTTTGCGCTTCCCAGACAGATCTTTCTTTTTATTAATTGCCCATGACTAACATAACACTTCCAGTACTTTGCTATTAACCCCTGCCCTTAAATAATACTTCTAATTCCTTATCTAAAACAATGCGAGGAATCTGTAGTTGAAGCGTGTTTCCGCCTCTGCAGCGACGAGGATCGGATGCTTCCCACACCAATAGCTGCAGTGCCTCTGGGGCTGCTAGAGCTCTCCAAGGGTGTTCAGAAAACGGGAAAGAACTCTTGAATAGTGGGAAACACACATTTTGGATACCTTTTTTTCTTTTGTCACAATAGAAATAGACTGATAAACTCCCAATTAGGATTGGCAGAAGACGACTAACCTGTTTCTACAGGAAATACCTAGGAGTGCTGTGGCCAGCTCACGTTCTGTTGCTTTTCATTCCGTCAGTCATGACAGGACCTTTGATTTGAAGAAAGGAACTAAAGAGGACATAAAGGCCTCTAATTCTCCCGTCCCATTTCTTAGGTCAGGTCCTTAACCATCAGAATGGATGCGTCTGGTAAAGTGATGAGGAGGCCTGAAGGCTGCTGACATCACACAGATAAAACCACAAACCCCCAAGACAGTCCACACTGCTTAGGGGGAGGGAGGTAAGGAAGAGATGCAATGCTCTGTTGTAAAATGTGAACTCTATCCTTTCAATGTGATTCTCTGGGACTTGACGTACAACCAGAGGCAGGAGGATCAGGGAGCCACTCTCAAAATTAAATGAGATCACAGCTCTCTGAACAGTGGAAAAGACGGGGGACCAAGAGGTTCTCAGAAAACTAAAATGGCACAAGGAACAAGCTAAAGTTAAATGTAGTAAATTTGCCAAGCACCATCACACTGCATCTAATGGGGGCAAATACAAACAGTAGCCACATGTGAATCAATTAGTACAGTTTCAGGATGTTACTACTTCTCAAACTGACAAAGTTTAATTTGACACCTTCTGTTCCAAATCCTTTGTTTCTATTCAAAATCACGCCTTGAGCTGTTGCTATCAATCACAGCACTCTCTATTACTTAAAAAAAAAAAAGAAAGAAAGAAAAAAACTGGCATGGACCCGGATAAGCTGCAAATACCATGCAGATAAATTCTGAGATAATATGTTCAAACCTGTTATATACAACACAAATCCTGTAAAGTTATGTATTGTAAACCTACATTTATTGAGAACTAAAAGTCTTAAATCCATCTGCCACAAAGGAAATACTGTTATGTACTTTATAGTAACCAACAGCCATCTGCAAATGTCTTGCTACCGTAAGCAAGAAAGCAGGGATGGGGGGTGGGGTAGCGTGCCGGCGGCGGGAAGGAGGAACATCCTTCTGACTGGTTTTGGTTCGGGATCTAATAAGGAAGTGTAAGATTGGGGGAGAAAGGGAAAGAGAAAAAGCAGAGTGACTGCCAAACCCGTGTTACAAAAACCAAAACAAACTCCGTGACAGCACAATGGCAATTTATTACGGCCCAGGAAACACACGACTGTGT